CAGAAACAAAAGCACAATTTGTGGTACAAAATAAAATGCACGGAAAACAAAAAAGTTTATTTTTTGAAACACTATACATTAACCATTGCCTTCGAACCTGTTCACCATTAGTAAGTTTTCTGAAGAACCATTTATTACTAAAATGATGATTATTTTCGTCATGTGGATAGTAGTTTTGAATTGAAGAGATTGGAGGACCACGTTCAATTAAAATAGCTTTTAACCTAGGTGTTATTTTGGGCCATTTCGCAGGATCATTAAAGTCAACATTTTTAGTATTATCCTGTTTTTCTATTTTTATCTCATTGTTAGTATCAGACTCAATGGTAGTAGCATTTTCTGTTATTTTTATTCCATCGTTAGTATCCGTTTCTAAAGGAACTACTAGATTTTCTTTTGGACTAGATTTCTGAAGCCATTTGCCTAACGATGCGGATAAACTTTTATTACTAGATTCTTTCAGTTTTCTTTGCTTTTCAAACCAGGCACCAGAAGGTTTTTTTGAAGTCATTATTTTATTAGTAAATTATTAACGACTAACGAGTAAATTATAAAATGTTTATATAGTTTTATTAACTTACGTGTGTGCGTACAGCTTGCGACGTGTCAATAGCATAGACGGCTAAGAAAAGGCAATACGATTACCCGCATCGTACTATCATGCATTGTAATACGCACTATCGTCACTTTTAAAAATACGATTATTGATATATAAACGACAAAGAATATCATAATATATTTTATAGACGGGCCACGGGCGATCCGATAACGATAGGCTCGATGTTCACACACACACACAAACACACACTCACCGTTCCTTGTACTGAAACACGAATTTAACGATAAACAAGATAAACAAGATAAACAAAATCATACACATTTCAAAATGTATAGTCATATAGGTAATACAGAAATGTCGTTTTGAAGTTAGAATAAAAATAAGTACCAATTTTAAAGCACAAATTGGCGCCCCTTCATAATTTGCGCTCCTGGCGTAGGCACAGTTCGCCATACCCTTGCTACGCCACTGGTCCATAGTATGAATATTAATATTAAACGATAATAATCTCGTTAGTATCTTGGAGCAGTGGTGAAATTACGGGGGGGGGGATAGATCCCCCCATGAGCTGTATTTTTATACTGTCGTATACACACAAATAGTTCAGATACAAACTTATAAATTAATATTTATTATTAAACTAAAAAATAAAATAAAATATTTAGTTGTGTTAGTACGGATCATAAATATTTACTAGGTAAAGATGAGCGTGATTTTAAAATATATGGTCTGTTTTATTTGAATTCTTATTTATTAATAAACACTTGGGTGCCCTGCCACAACTGCAGCTAATTACAGTACCTACTTCCTACACACTACATGCATATTATAGATTATAGATTACAGATTATAAGTAATCCGATGATGGGTAAAACCACTTTTCCAAAAATTAAAATTTAATAATGAAAATCTAACTTCAAGATTTACATTTCGTAGAACGAATAATAATACTACGTACGCTGGCCGACACTAAGTATCTATACATTGATTATCGCGATTACGTACACACACTGCATACTGTGACATTCTCGATTCTCACATAGCCACAGTGTCAGGAAATTGATTTAATTTTCATAAGCTAAAAGCAAAACGGAGCAAAAAAAAGAAAATTACCGGCAACTAATAATACTCTTTTGAATTTTTTTAAAAAGAAGCCCGGATTTGACGTAAGTATTACAATTTTAAATTATTCAAAATACTACACATAATTAAGACCGGAATTATATTATGTTTTTTAAAATCGTATAAAATATGCACGACGTATTTTGTACACTTATTATAATTAACATTACAACTCGCATCAAAAATAAGCAAAATTAAATAAACACCAGTTAAAAATGTATTGACAATTTAACTGCAGTCGCTGCAGTTTATTCAATAAATATTATGTCATATTAATTATTATAAAAAAATGAATGAGTCTACTAAAAAAAAAAATTTAATAATTTATAATAATAATAATTAATAATACCTAATAATAATTTTAAAAAATAATTTAATTCGATTTTACCTACTCATTTTCTTGTTTATTAATTAAGAAAAACATAGAGAAAACTGATGATGTATTACCTCACGTTGAAAATAAAAATTTGGTTCAAACTGTCCAAATAACAAATAAGGTAGGCACAGTTTTGTTCTAAGGTATTATGCCTGTAGCATGACTGCTAACACTGCATATCATTAATAAATTATGTTCTGCTTCGTAATTTTTTAGAGTAATCATTTTGATGCAAGTAAAAATGACATTGCTTTGTTTATTAGACATGATTTGCTATCAGACGAAGAAAAAAATAACGTAAGATTTTCGAACTTAATGGTCTGGCATTGTTGGCAATTTACAATGACATTATATTTTCAAATGAAGAGGTCATTGATGGACTTGCCGAAAAGCCCAGAAATCTGGACATAATATTGTAAAATATTAAAACGATTTATTACATATTTGTTATTTGTAAATATATAGTATTATGTAATATAAAATGATTATATTGATATGTGTTGAGTTATTAAATTATACCAAATATAGTTAAGGGGGTGTGGGAGGCAAAGGCCTCCACAAGTTTGCTATACAAATTTATTTCAATCCCCCCCCTCAAAAAACATTCTCAATTACGCCACTGTTTTGGAGTGCAATGTTGAAGTCCGGCAATTGTTCTTCTGAATACACAAGGTAGAAACTAAAAGAAGCAGCAGTAGTGATTTGTCGTAAATATTAGTGTGCTATGTACTGACGTCCCGCCTATACGTATATACTTGAGATAGCGAGGGGGACGAATGAGATTGTTCACACTAGGATGTGATTGACCTTGGGAAAGCGTCTTGAAAGATTTAGGATAACAGCTATAGTCTTTGTGTGCGTAGTTCTGAGAACTCGACAAACGAAATCGCGTTGTGAAAGATATGTGGAAACAATTAGACACATGCATATATATGGACATAAATAATGAATAATATTAATATTGTTCTATTATAATAAATAGACGTCAGATAATATATCGATATCGACAGCCGCACAGGAAGAGACCGTTTCCTGGAACTCGTACGCACACGTGCAATGGTAAACGGGGTCAGCCCTATCTTATCGTTAGGAGAAGAGCGGAGAGTAGGCCTATAAAACAGGGACCCAGCCACCCGATATTCAGACGTGATTTACCAGAGTCAGTACGAGCACCTTCACGCCAGTCGACTCTCTGATAAATTTCAGTGTACCAAAAATATTCTATCAGTTTTACATGTCAAATAATTTCTATGTTCATAATAATCTAAAATTGACTTAGAATTATTTACACCTTGTCATCATTTATACAGTTTTTTTTTATTATAAATTAAATTTCAATTATGTTTTTTTAAAAATATTTAGAGTCATTAGAAAATTTCGAATTCCATTTGTTATATTTTAATTAAAAATTAATATATATTAAAATTGTATTTTTTGGATCAAAAACCTTGTAAATTTATTACATGATTTCTAATTTATTTTTACAAAATCAGTTTAAAAATTTTAAAAATATATAGTTGCAATTTTTTTAACGAGCATTCGAATTTTGATAAAATAGTAACATTACGAAAATTAGAAAATCATTTTGAGTTCGAAATTCATAAGACTTTTTCTTTTTAAATCTAAGATTTTAAAATTGAAAATAAGATTTCTCATAGGTGCGTCTATCTTTATCAAATTACAAATGTCTACCGGAAAGTCAAAAATCAATTTTTATGACCGTTTGAAGTTGAACCTTGTCTATTTTTTTTTTTAAATATTTAACCCGTTTTAAGCTCATTATGGACATTTTCAATTGTCTATTATCTCAGTTTTTTTTCTCTATAAATGTCAACAATATTGTGTTCGTTGGGTCAAAACAAATGAAAAGTAGTATATAGTTTCTAATATATTATTTCAATAGAAGTTTAAAAAGATTAAAAATCCATAGACACAGTTTATTTTTTATTATAAATTAAATTTCAAATTTTGACAAAATGAATTAAATATAAAATGTACAAATTATATTTGTTGTAGTTTAAGTTTTTCAATCAATTTTAGATTCTGAGTGGAACGATGAATGTATTGATTTTACAATGATGTGTGTTTTTTTTTTATTTATTTATTTATTTTTTTTTTTTGGGTCTGTCATCAGCTTTTAGGACAGTAAAACTGCTTCGATTTTCTTCAACAGCAACTTTTCTGATTGGAAAGTGAATCTTGTTGGTACTTTGGGGGGTCAAAAGTAAAAATTTCCCAGTAGTTGTCAAAAGCGACGTGAAAAACAAAAGAAAAAATTAAGGAAAAACGGGAATTTTTACGCAAAATCGATTTTGGTTTTTGGTGTAACTCTAAAACAAATGGCCGTAGATATATGAAATTTTCACAGGTTGTTTTAAAATTTTTAGAAGAAAGTCAAATTAAATTTTTATGAGCGTTTGAAATTCATATTTTTACAACTTTTGATATTCACTCGATTTCTCATGTAACGATTTTCTGTTTTTGTTGTAATTAAAAAACGAATGGCTGTAGATACTTGAAAATTTCACTGAATGTTGATATTAGCATTTTCTAAACACGATAAGATTTTGAAAATAATTTGACTCTTTTTGAGATGTTTACGGACATTGTCAATTTTCAATTTTCTTAGTGTTTTTTTTCTATAAATACCAATAAAATTTGATTTGTTGAGCGAAAAAGCTTGAAAATTTAATACAAGGCTCCTGATATATTTTTACAATAGCAATTGTAAAATATTTAAAATATATAGGCACAGTTTTTTTTTATAAGCATTTAAAATTCGAATTTTGACTCAGATATATTGGTATTAATATGTCTTAAACCAAGACCGACATACCGTCTCCACTCAGAATCGTTTTTCTTATACAATGATATTGTATCATTGAATTTAAATTTAATTCCATCCATTATACAGTGACCCACTTGTAACCTACTGTACAGCAGAGTGACATCCACTTACCCGCTTTTCATAGTTAAGGTTAGGACATTTTGAACAAGGCTAAATGTAAGTGGTTAATTCTGTAGAAAAAAAGTTAAAAATAAATTAGCACAGTTTTTTTTATTGTTAGTTTAAGTTCTAGTAATTTAGATTTAGAACTATAGTTCTATAGTAATGTTATAATAAAAATAAGTTGTATAGGTACTAAAATATAATTAATATATTATACTCTGTCTCAAAAGAAAACAATCACTTTCTGCGCATCTTGAATGATTCGATTGTCACGTGAACCACTTGATTACGCCAACATCGGAAGGGGGTGTGAGACGCGCAGCACAGCAGTACATCAGTTAACAGGCTGATTATTCTCCTTTGAGGCATGCATATTACTTTATAGAGTGACCTAAATCAACTGAGAATGTAGTGAAGACTACTGAGTGCCCCAGCTCGATTACCGTCCGGGAGTACGCGTCACAGTGGTGTAACCGTCAACCGGCGGCGTGGTTGGTTAGTGTCCGTCAGTCGTGTGTCGGCACTGTGGTATTGGCCACTCGCAACGCTTCGTCCGTGTCGGTCTGCGGTAGCTGGCTGTGGCTGGTAGTTCGACCAACTGGTGATTTCTTTTTTCAAATATTTACTACTCTCGAAATATCACCGGAACTTGTACTTGTGCCGTACCTAGTAGTAAACACAATGCGCACTGTTGTCCTGGTTGTAAGTTGGTTTACCCGACACTTGTTTCTGGTGTATGCCAATGCCATGTTGCACTGTTGCCGTCAACGACTGTCACATACGTGATAGTTGTTAGTTCCGATAAGACCCGTTTAGTAGTGATTGACAATGTTTTCTGTAGATACAACTATTAAGTAAAAAAACATATTTTTTTTGTGATTATAGAAATTGGCGAAACATCGTGCCGGTATTTAGGTGAAATGGAAAAAGATGGTCAAAAATGTCGCGAAGACGTGGTGAAAGTAGAGCTACTTCCACCAAAATGCACGTCTTTTGTGTATAATGGAGTTACATGTAAACCAAGTTATAGAATCGAGTTTAATGACGTGATGTACGGATTAGGTAAAGAAACAATTATTAATATAGAATCTATATTATAGAACATACCTACCTAGTTCTATTTAGCAGTGTTAGGACTTAAAAATGGCATTAGCACCAATATAAAGTTTAATATTTTACGAAGAAGTTTCTAATCATCATGAAAATATTTTTGAAGTAAAACAAAATAACAACCTTTATCGTTATTGTTTATTTGAATATAAATAATATAATTTCATAATATAATATTATAATAATTAGATGTACTATAAAAGATTAAACTATAAAAGAATATAATGTCATTAGTTTCTAGCAAAATTTAGCCTAAATTATGATCTATGGTATATAGTTAAATATTATTTATGGTTTTTAGCATTCGTGTAGCGGGTGATCTACTGCCTCTTTTTGGGTATTATCAGGTGATCTATCGTATTATGCTAGGTGTAGTTGGTGATCTACAATTATTATTACCTGTTATTATATTATATTATTCTAGGTGAGATATAAATTTGTTGTATGAAATGGCGAAACTAAATAGGTAATAAGTTTCAATTTGCATATTTTTGCATTATATTTCGTCATATTTTAAGAAAAGCAATTTTTAGCATATTTTGCATACAGTAGGGTCTTGATAATCCGAACGTGATTGGGGAAAGGGGTCGTTTGGATTAGCGATTTGTTCGGATTACCTATGGCTTAAAAAAACTACAGTCTTATTGTAATTTAAATTATGAAATTTTATTTTCATCTGTATTAATCATGTAAAAACTCGTAATTTTAAAAGACAATGAATATTTAAAAATATTAATTATCATAATAAACATTATCGAAAATTGTATTACCGGAAAATATTACTTATAAATACATATGTGCATATTAGATAAGATAAGATAATTCTCAAGCCCGTTCGGATTAGCCTGTGTTCGGATTATCGAGTCCCTACTGTATTTTGTATTACTTTTATTTTTATAAACGTAAAATTGTCGGGAAAAATCATAATTGGATGGTCGTAGTTTGTTGTATCTAACACATACGTCTGTTTACGATAGTCTCTTTATCGCTTAATAATCAACCTTTTTATCGACAATATCGACAATTGAATAGTTGTGGTAAAACTCAATAACATCTAGATTCTAAATTGTACAATGAAATGAGAAGCAGTACGCGTGCGTTAGTTTTAAACTGTTCGTTGGTCGGAGTTTACCTAAAATGCTTGCATCTGAATTTTATAAAATAATTGACGTAGGTACTCGTAATAAAAAATATTATGTGTTTTTTATTATTAAAAAAATAATTTTTTTAATTGATACGTAGATCACTCGTCCTAAATTCGCAGATCACTCAACTGCAGTAGATCACCTGCTACATGAATGCCTGATTTTTTTACAGAACGCTTACGAACACTTCTAAATTTTGATAAGCCGGCGAAAAATGTGTACTTATTTTATTCACATGGATACACAATTGACTGGCATAATATGCTTTCGAAAGGAGATTTTAAACTTGTGAGTAAAATTGTACACGATTTTGTTCAGAAGTATCGTGTGAAAGGGTTGATTCTGGAAGGAATTGATCATGCATATGAAAATGTAAGTACAGTGTCTAAATTACGAATGATTTTAAGTTTGGTTTATAGTAGATATATTTTAATTAAATAGAATCATAGGTATGCTTCCGTACTATTCATATAGCATATGTACCCCAATAGCTTTAGTACGTTCGAAAACACTACCCTGCAAACTAGTTGAGTACCTAGAAAAAATCGATATGAAATGAGTTCAACCCGGTGTTGTACGATTGAGAACGTTTTACCTTTTTAGCAACACGATTGAGAACGTCGGCAGATCAAAGAAACAATATTTTGTACCTTAAAATCAAACGATTGAGAAGATATTTCTAGCGACGTTGCCATTTATATTAATTATTAGTAATAATTTTTAGGGCTGGGATTTTGATGCAAAGGCATCTTTTTTTCTTGTTTTGAAACGTTGTTTTGTAAGTATAAAATGTGTAAACGGTTTTTTTTTTTTGGCCATTTTTTACAATTTGTTTATAAAATGTACGACAATTCATGCGATTAACAAGAGACATTTGGCACACTGTCGACGGTTAATAATAAATTATCATATCTAGGCATTTACGGTCAAACTATTGCCGTTATATATGTATACTCATATACCATATATATATATATATATATATATAGGTGCAATAATATGTGTGTGTTTTTTTTTATCAAATTTAAAATTTAAATATGATTTGTTTGTTAACAATTTATTAAATGTTTGACTTTAATAGCCAAGGATTGAAAATTTAAAACGAAATTCCATGTAAGTTTATTTAGTAACCAAAATATAGTGATTGATATCTTATATATATTGTATATTGTATTTTTATTATTTTTATTTTTAATTAATATGGCAACGTTGCATAAAAGTTAGCAGGTAAGAACGTTCTCAATCATGCTATTAAAAAAGGTACGACCGATAAAGACCGTTCTCAATCGTGTTCTACCCAGTTCAACCATATCTTTTTTTATCTAGAGTACGGGAAGGAATCACATTTGAATCACTTCTACATCACCCCATTATTTTTTATCGACATCATGGAATGACAAAATATATTATGCTAAAAAAGCTCTACTTTCTGAATTTTGGACTTCGACCCGCAATAAATGTTTTGAGTTTGATCAGTTTCACTTCTCGATGTTGCCTTTTATCTTATTCATTCTGCGTTAGTTCACTATCGGAAAACTACGGAACAGCTAGCCAATCCACCTCCGGGTTTAGCACAATGTGCCATATTTTCTTTGTCCAACTAATTAAGCTACTCTGCAAGCGTTGCTAATCAACTGTCGGATCAAAAGTACTCTAAATGTATTTCATGTGTTTATCCAACCTATTGATCGGGAGACTACATGATTTCCAAAACATAAGTCAGCTGACCAGTGGTCTGCACGAAGAGGAAATTTTTCAGGCGTCTGGCCTATTCGGATTAGTAGTAAAGTACTTACTGGCTGTGCTTCCAATTCTTAAGGAATTTCTCTACGCTGAGACATAGTCCACCTCGAATATTCTTGGCAGGTGTTGATGTTATTATCTTTTTATCTACAATGTTGTGTGTATTAGTTCTAAATGTTTTAGTTATTTTTAATTTAGTATTTGTTTACAACTAAGTATATGTTATACATTGGAGAAACAATGAATAGGTAATTCACACGTAGTTGGACCTGTTCCAAAAAATGTATTGTGCTTAAGTCCTCTTACCATGTAATCTTTAAATGTAAATAAAATAATTGTAAAAAAATACATTAAATAAATGTTAACACATATATATACCAACGAATTTTACCTTTGCGTATATCCATTTCCTGGCATTAAATATAAGTAATATTTTTTTTATTGATATTAAGTCTAGAAACTCTACAATTAGCATTATAGGATTAAACTGTTGATTTGAAACCCGTGTTAGTATGTGTGGCAATGATGCGCGTTGCTTAAAACTCAGCCGGTCGCATCCGAGTGTTACCAACGGAAACCGTTACGTACGCTCAGTGTACGACCGAGCCTCACCAAGCCACTAAAAATAATTAATACACCCATTAATTTATCGATATTTTCAAATGTCATTTTATAATTCAATTATACATTATATACCAGCTTGAGTCTTACCCGGTCTGCGCCAGGGCCGTCAGTCGATTAGATATTAATGATATTATTAACATTCATGTTTATTATATTTGTACAAATTTATATGGTTCATTATTAAAAATCCGTTAGAGTAGGCCACTATAAGTTTTTTTTTTTTATAAAACAATGAGTTTTATTGCTAATCCGTTTGAGCACGCCACTACAGTGCGTTTCACAACAATTGTCCCTCGGTACCAAAGCGCCGGATGGCAGTTTTTCGACGTACGTTTTTCGTCAAGGACTAGTAAACTAGTACTTAAGTATGGAGGGAAATTTAAAATTAAATAAGATATCGCACTTTATTTACCAGTCTAAATTGCGAATCACTGGTTTGATTAAAAACCACTACCACTGTGCGACGGCTGCACATCAAGCCGGATGACGCGTGTAGGCGTGTGCGTGCGCTGGAGGCTGCCTACAAGTGTCGGATCGTGTGTCACTTTACCTACTCGTCGTTGTCCTGTCGATAACCCTGTAGGAGGGGGAGAGGGGACTGTATAGGATCGGATTCGGGAATAAGAGAATTAATGAGTGAGGGTGATGACTGAAAGCTTATCAACAATAACAATATTTACGGTATGAAAGGTACGGGATAATTTATTACAAAATGCTGCAGAAAATGAGACTTAAAATTAATGTTAGTAATCACGCGATCACAAACCGATCGGTGAGATAATATAAACGATGACAACATACGATAACCGTGTGTACGACCTGATACGGCGATGTTGATAGCAGGACGTGATAACGCGGTGATGGAGCAGTTGTCCCAAACGACGGCGACCGGCAGAAGATGGACAAGGAATCAAGATAGCACGACGACGGTGTGTCCTACGTCGACTTGACGAAACTGGCCCGCGTGTCGAGACTTCGTAGCTTGACGGAACGTCGGAAATGAAGAGCGGTTTTGCACCTCGAATAGAACACCAGCGGAGTCGTACAGCGTACGATACGGACGGGCGACAAAGCCAACACGTCTCTTTTATGGCTCGCGTTACGGGCGGTTGAAGCGATGCAACCGGGCGCACAGCGCGCGAAAACAAGAACGGTTATGACACGGTTCGCACTGCGTTAGAAACGGACGGGCGGAACACGTGGAATGTGAACGAGCAGGGCTCAAGTCACACAGATTCATCGGACGAGCGACAAAGGTCGCTAAAACGTGACCGCAGACGGGCGGAACACGTGGTATGTGGACGAGCAGGGCTCAAGTCATACGGATTCAACGGACGAACGATAAAGGTCGCTAAAACGCTGTCGGATTGCGACACGGACGGTCGAAACAATACGTCGAGTACGGAAAAGAAAACGCCGGAGCTCGGAAGCTGAACATAAAACAAAAATGGCGTATACAAGAAAACGGCGGCGACGCACCGGGTCGTGAGAACGAGAAACAGAACAACACTTTGCCTAGACGGCTGGAAAACGACAAAAACGGCGGTGGCGGGTATCGGCGACCAACGGCTAGACCGCGACAGTACCCGTCCCCTCCTCATAGGACAAAGTTCGGTTTGAAAAGACTTCGTCGGCGGAGCAGCAGGGTGGCAACAACATTGCCACACATTCAGATCGCATGCAGCGCGCCGAATTTAAAATCTGATTTTGTATCCAACAACCACGTTGGTATCGAAGGACAATCGTTGTGAAACGCACTATAATAAAAACCTAGTATCCTTACTTTCTGGAATGTATTTATTGTGATTTTCATATGGATACTGATACCTTCCCCTGATCCATCTAAGTATCTATATTGAATTTAAAATGAATCGGACGAGTAGTTGTGAAGATTACGAGTGCGTAAAAAGAGACATTCATTTTTATTTATATAGATAGATACAAAGTTTATGATTTTATACATTTCTATTATATAATAATTTATTCATCTTTAGAAAACTGTTGGTGACATGTACCAGAACTTAACCGATTACGTAAATACTATTAAAGGTGATAATCCAAATTTGGAAATTGGGTTTTATTTGAGTGCTAGAACTTTCATAGCATTTGAAAGAAATAAGGCCCGTAACAGTACAAACGATGAAATTGATGATGGCGATGACGGTGTCAGTACCGATAACGATGACTGTTACAAACCACCTTGTAAGCGGATAAATTAAAATCAAATTAGTAGAAATACAATTCCTTATACATACAGTTGCACCAAATAATTTAAATTGTAATTGTGATTTTTAAGATATAATAGATATCTTTATTCTACAACCAACCAATTTTTCAAATATAAATGTATTATAATTTGTTATGTTTTGTATACTAGATTTTGATTTCTCAAAGATGAATTCAATTATGGATTTCTACTTAATTGAATTTCATACTTTTAACAAATGTACGCCTGATTTATTACGTGGTGGAATTACACCTTTGGAATCATCGAACTCGTATATTTATTCATTAGTAAGATTTGTATCAAACACATAACTACAAAATTAAAATTAAAAATTCTATGGTTTTTTCAGAACAATTTTGCAGCACTTTTAGCAAATTCAACCATTGATAAGGAAAAATTATACTTTGAATTCTTAATAAGTCCTATACCGTTGACCAATGAAATTGGAAATTTCCCGAATTGTGAAATATCATATAACGAGGTATAAACATTTTAATTCAAAGTGCCCATCAGTTTATAAATAAGTATGTAGGTCATATAGATTTTTATCAGTACCTAAGTCTTACGCCGATTTAAAGGACTGGAGACATAAAATAATATTAGTGCATTTGGTTTCCAAAATACATTGAGTGAATATCTGCCACTTTTACTGGCGAATGCCCATTAGTGACATCTCGTAGATATACGTGCTTCATGTTTGGCGTGGATTGTCATTTGATGAGAGGAAATTAAAGGTCGCCAAATCGGCGCTGAGGTTAAGAAACAGGAGTTCACGGTATTTCATTTTCTTTTGTAAGATTAATAATAGTACAACACACAAAGATGGAGTGGAAACTGCTTGTTTATACTTTTTGAAATACGAAAATATTTCACAAAATTGTTACGTGAAAAGTCGTTCACTTTGTATACTGAAATACAACATTTATAGCATAATATACACATCGACATTGATAATATCCATTATTATTTATTATTATTTAAATCGATTAACCACGTCCGCTGTCAGAGTATAGTTCATATTAGTATATCGTTGTAATAAGATCAAAAATATAGGAACCCATCCATTGACCATTGAACATTCAATATTAAATTTGGTGTCCTGTCTTGACATCTCCTCTCACACAACTCCAATTTTGACCAGATAATTACATCCTGATATCCGACGATTGAAGTCACCGCACTCCTCGTCAACCAATAATCATTAATAATTAACTATCATTATTCATAAAATCATGTTACCTTCTGGGGAGTAAACACAATTTCCCCAGTACCAGAATATCTGATCAGAAATTTAAGTACGTATAAAATATACCTAATTTACTTACGTAGTTTGTGATTGAGTGAATTTTTGGGATGAAATTTACTTTTACCGATTTATGTAATTATTTTTTTGGAAATCATTATATTTAAAGTACCATATTATTTAAATACTTTGTATAAATGTTTACAGTATTGTGAAAACGAAGATGACAAAAAAAGTAAATTTTGTGCCGATGACTCAGAAGCATTGTACCAAAAAGTAATACTTTGTAATGTATAATATTATAAAAATTAATTTAATTTTTTTGTTTAATTTTTAGGGTAACTTTACCCAAACCTATGCAAAAGGATTCATAGGCATGTATATAGATTTAGTCGATCGTGATAATAACTGTCATTGTGGAAAGTACATGGCGTTTGATATGATGGTAAAAGGATATAATGGTGAAACGGATCCAAAGGATTGCGAACCATTACAAAGCTTTTGAATACTTGAATTAATAATTATTGTCTTATACTGTAATTAGGTACAGTTAATTAATTATAGTGTCTTCTACTAGTTACTTGATTCTCATAGAACGATTATTTTATTTTGTTGTAATCCAAAAACTATTAAAACCATCTGTATACTTGAAATTTTTTAAGAAATAAACAATCTGTGTAATATACCTAGAGAACAATAAGAAATAAAAATATATGATAACAGAAGAAAACATGAATTATGACAAAAACGTCAGGAACCTAAAACATCTAAAAAAAATGGGATTTTAGGACAGTTTTTCTGTATAGACATTTTAGTTCAAACTAGTTCCTTGTGAAACTCGCTGTCCTGAAACTCGGGAGCTTGTGAGACTCGGCGATGCAGACGTCAATGTCGTTGAAATCACTTCTAGAAGTCACTCCTGTTGACGTCATGGGCAGTTAAAAAACAAAAATGTAGGAGGTGATAACGATTTTTGATAAGTCTTAGAGATCTCGTTTCGAGCGTTTGAATGTTTGAAATTTCACTTTACCCTCGAAAATCGGCAATTGAATAACACGGTTCCCCGTCGCATGTCCTTTGCTTTTTCGTATGTAATAAAAATGTAAATTCGAAAACTGAGTTGGAATGTCTAGCAAGTCCGTCTCCTCAAGTGAAAATCGTTTAACATTCAAACCTCCGTTCAGCGTCTATGAGTGAAACTCAACTTAATTGGTTGTATTTACCTTCATTATACACATTACACACATAATGTATAGAAAATAAAGATCGCAAGCAGGTAATGATATTCGGCATGATAAACCAAAGATATTCTAATCATACTTATAGACGGTAGTATGTATAAGTTTTTTTGAAATTATTTCATAATGTAAGCACCACGAAGATTTTGTTTACAATAATAATGGAGATAACAATGAAATAATCATTGGAACTTGGAAAAATCTTGTAAAAAAAACCGGAAAAAAAAATGCAAAAAATCCGGGCGGCCGTGCTACAGCATAGGCCTACCGTCGTAGAGACGGCGTCGTTATATCCGAAGACGGGATCCGAACTCGCCTACCCTACGACATTAACCTATCGCCTAAACCTACGGGACACCTACTCAGATGCCTTTAGACGGAACAATTTGAGCATTTAAGCCGTTTGTATTCATCAGCGAATACTGCAATAAACATTGTTTAACCGATGAAATCCGTAGAATATTGCATATAGTTAACAAAATAGATGTAAAATCATGCTATTGAATGCAAATACATATCAATTTCTGTTGTTGTAAAAAAACTAAAATATTTGTATTGCTATTATTATGCGTAATAGTACATATGTATACGGTTCTGCATCAAATAAATAGTAAATTTATTTAATATATAAGCAATATGCAATTGAACGTTACTCATTAAATACAGAGTGTATTAATTGTGAAATATTATATCATAGCATCGAGCACTAATGGTCGGGTTAAAATATTGTCTTATTTATTACATATTACATATTATGGGTTTTCGAGTAGATTTATTGAAATCCAACCACAGGATTGTGTGTTGATCTCATCCTAATAATTTTGAATTTAATATATCGCATTCGGACGTTCCACAGTCGCAGAATTATACGATCGATATGAACCTGACCGTTGAAGAACAGTCCTGTTTCATTTGATATATTTAACCGAGAGAAGGACAAAACAGTAAGTGTAAGGCTCCGTTCGACGACTTTGGTTCGGTCTGCAAAACCGATTTCGAAATGTGAGAATGTGGCACGAAGAAAGGCGAACGGAGCTCGAAAAGCAAAAGTTTTGAAACAATATTTTTATATTACCTTTCGTGAAGACGATATTTCAAAACGATAACGCCGCGACATTTTTTCGCGCTCCCATTGGCCGGGAAGCGAACGCTCGTGGAAGAAAAGAAATAGTGGTCTTTCGTTCCGGGAGGAAAAGACTCCGAGACCTTACCATTTTATATATTAAGAAGACTAGCTCTTCGAGGGTCGCTGGGGGAGACCCCCAGACCCCCCGTGTTAGCTGAAAGTGTTTACCGATTGCGTAGACTGAGTAGTCGAAACTATAAAAGTCGCGTTTGTAGGGGTCCTAGAAAATGTCAGAGAAGGTGATAAGGATTTGTGATAATGCATTTTCGTGGTGCCGTTTCGAAGGCGGGAACGTTTGAAAGTCTCGAAATATGTGATTGAACGGTCCAGTCTTGTGCTTTTACGAAAGTGTTAGCTGCCCGTGTGCCTCGATTCCGGGCGTCGTGGAAGCCCCCTCCGGCGCCTTCGAGGTGCTAGAGTGAAAATCGTTTCACAGGAAATTCGAAAAGATATTAAACCGTACCGAAAACTGTGACTTGGAGTGTATAGTAGTCTTTGCTCGGCTGCTGTAATACCGTGTCCCGCTGTTTGCCCGTTTCTGTTTTGTCGACTGTTTAAGAAATTAGGAATTGCGAATAATTGTAATCGAATGTCTAGCCATCAATCATCGCTCTATGCAAATCTTTGAGTTATAGGGCATGTGTGTATGGCGGATTGGATGCATGAGCAGTCGCATGCTAGATGTAAGTGAAAAAACGGGAAATGCAAAAACAAACCCCCCTGTCAGCTGAAAGTGGCTACCGATTGTGGAGACTGAGTAATTGAAAGTATAAAAGTCGCGTTTGTAGGTAGGCGAGAAAATGTCAGAGAATGTGATAAGGATTTGTGATAAGGTGCTCTGGAGGTGTCGTTTCGAAGGCGGGAACGTTTGAAAGTCGAGTTGGAGGCTTTAGAAATTAGCGGTAAAACTGGCTCGATACATCCAGTCTTGTTTTGGCAACGTGAAACCAAAATCTTGAGTCGGAGCACCGTATTTGGGTGTCTAGCAAGTCGGTCACGTCAAAGTGAAAATCGATTAAAATAAAATTCAGACATCTAAGTAAGCCATCCGATTGCGTCGCATAGCCGACGATATGGGCCTGCCTGCATTGGTCTCTCGGTGTTACTCGCTCCGTCAGTAATAAAGGCCTTTGTGCTATTCACTGATGGTGAATACCGATATCTGGACTTGATAGTTTAGACGGGGTCCAGTCTTGTGCTTTTATGAAAGTCAAAAATCGTAAATCTTAAAGATTTATTTCAATGTCTAGCAAGTCAGTCACGTCCAGTGGAAATCGATTCACGTTTAACTTAGTTATCTAGGTAGGCAATCCGACTATGTCGGATAGCGGACACAGTGATGGGCAGCTATAAGTGAGAATTATCTTTGCAAAAGCCTATTAAAGTACATAATACATTAGCCCGGTGGGATCAAACTCGCTTCCTGCGCTGGTTCTTGCAATTCAAATTCAAAACAACCCAGGATCCACAATGTAAAACCTTCTATGTAGGTTAGGTCTCAAATTAACTATAGATATTAATTCTGATTTCACATTTTGTGAGTTTAACTGACTACTACACTACATCAATATTCTATTGTATTATGAGTTAACAACATTGACCTACCCACCTTATTTGCCCTTATATAGGTACATTAACATATAATTGGAGGATTACTTTGGTATTGGTAGTATTGTGACAATGGCTGTAAATACAGGCTGATTCGATCGACATGGACAAACGCTTAACTTCAATTCTATTCTACAATTATATATCCAACTACCAACATGAGCAACCAATGGTGACACCGAGTAGCTATTCCATAGGATATCACCTTGTGACTCGCGAGTACAAAATCAAAAACTCAAAGTAATATCATGTAATTTATTGAATTAAAAAAAAGAAACATGTACATAATATGCGTAATATATATAGTATTCCTAT